CCTAGAAAAACATTTAATACTGTAAGCTCTGATTGTAAAGCACTTTGTCCGCAAGGAAGAAATGGAGGGAGAAAGGAAAGGGGGAAAAAATACACTGACTGAACCAAGTGGCCTAATGTTTTATAATCTTAGGGGAAAAAATTCCTCTTCTTCTTTCCAAGACACATTTCCCCGAAAACATGTTTTTTGCATTTAAAAAGTAGAAGTCTTTGTTACTTTTGGAAAATACTTTTGTAAAGTTAAAAATGTTTTCCAAAGTTAAGTATGGACACCTCAATTTATTTTAACAATGAGAGTTAAGAAGCTTTTCCAAAAGTAAATTAATTTTACTTCTCAGATGAAATCAATGTATACAGATATTTAAAGCTGGAATATGGTATCTTCAGAAGTCTAAGCTACCCTGCTGGAGATGTGGCATGTCCTTGGGGGCACTACATGGAAAGAAAGGCTATAAAGGGAATAACCGAAGTAGCTGAGTCGATAGCACCAAAGCCCCAAACAAGTGAGAGAGACATTCTTGAACTTTCTAGCTCAGCTGAGCAATCAGCGGAACACAGCCACAATAGCAAACCCAGCTAACATCACTTGAAACAGCTGTGGAAAATAATTAAACTGGATACCACATAACCTTTATGTTAAGCAACCAGGTAGATGACTGAATTTTTTTTCCTTGTCTAGACAGTGATTCTGCTGTAATATGAAAATAGCCATATTTGGCAGCCTTTATTGAATACAAGAAAACTGAAAGTTTACAGATCATTGTATTTTTTTCCTCAAGATTGCTGATATTGTCTTTAAATTTTATGTGCACATTAAACATAGTGAGTAGCATATTGCTCACTGAAATTGATTTGCAAATTACTGAAAATCACCTTTTTTGTATCCGTATGTTAGTAATAGCAAGAAATATTTGGTATTTCAATTCCAGTTCCCTGAAAAGCATATGGCAAAGTGTGTATATCGTTCTACATAAAAGATTTTAACTGTGGGTTGGTCAACAACTGACCATAATTAAATGATAACCAATCACAGTCTTGTAGGGGCAGTGAAGTTGAATAATGAGATGCTCCTTTTTCTACCTATGCATATTAACATATTTTTTTCCAGGTACAGTGGATTGAAGGTTTCTGCCAACTCCCCAATTCATGTGCCAAATTCCAGTGCCTACTGCAATAGTATTAGGAAGTGGGGCTTCTGGGACATGATTAGGTTATGAGAGTGGAGGCCTCATGAATAGGAATAGGACTAATGCCTTATAAGAAAAGATATTCTCTCTTTTATAAAAATTTTTTATAAGAAAGATAATCTTTCTTTGCATTGGTCAGAACTACACAACATGTGCATCCCAAAGTAATTATTGACAAGGACAGCCCAATCAGTATTTGTCTTTAAATTGGCATCCTTAAAGAGGTACATATCTGAAGTCACATTTTGTTTTTTAAACAAAGAGGGAAGGAGGAAGGGAATGGTTATTGGGTAAACTGATATTTTTCAAACTTCAGATTGCACCCCATTAGAAGATTATGAAGCTAATTTATTGGAGTGTAATTGGCATTTTAAAAATTAAATAAAGTAGAATAAAATAAAATAGAAATGATAAGCTCGTCATACTTAGGTGCTAACATAATTTGTGAAACTCATCTTTGAGTTATGTGTGTGTACATTCAGTCATGATGTAAAATGAATTTCTTAATACAGGTTAAAGTCAAAAAGTATGGAAACCACCTGAGCAGACATCAGGTGTGTCTGCTATAAATGATCCCTGCTGGTCTTCTGAAAATTAGTTAAGATGGAATATCTGCATTCAGTGGCCCTCCCCTATAAGACATAATGAAGCTTATCACATAAAAGAGATCCAAGAATAAAAACTATCTGAAACATGTGGGCTTCTGTAATTATTTAAGAACAAATTAGATAATAAATATAAAAAACAAACTAGATAATAAACTACACAAAATAAATAAACTAGATAAAAACCAAACTAGATAATAAAAACTATGTAATGAAAGATTATGCACCTGGAATTTTACATATATCCCTTTTAATTTTATCACCATCCCAAGATTTTAACTACAATTCTTATGCATGAAGTGGTGGTTCCTGCTCTGTTAGGAGATGAGCTGTTACATATTTAGAATTTTTAAAACCTTTCTTTCTTTTTAATTTATCTACTAAACAAGTAGATTTAGATCCTACTTGTAAGTTTGAACACTGAATACTGGTAAATTCCCTGCTTTACCCACTAAAATAGAATATGTGCTACATGTTTTACATGTATTACAAAGAACTGCAGCTTTATGAATATAATGATGCCAAAAAGTAAAATTAATCACAAGTGACCAATAAGTATGTGCTCACTTCACCAAAACTGTAGCCTCATCTGACTAGAAATACTGTGGGTTGGAATTGATATATAACGCTAACACTTAAGAAAGACTTAATCTGCCATTATCAGCAATGTTAATCTTGAGAATTCTTCCTCCTCATTTGTATTGAAAGATGAATAAATTCAGTGTAATTATGACCACCAAGATTATGCAAAATATGATTTTAAGTTTTTCTGATACATGTTAATTGACCCAAGTGTACAGCGTATATTACATGTAACAGAGTTACAAGAAGCTAATATTCTATTAGAAGCATACCTTCCAAGAAGAATACGATGTCCATTTAAATACCACAACTAAAGGGAATTCAACCATTCTTAAGGTGATTATTTAATATAATGTTTTAAGCCTGTTTGGCTGCTTCTAGCTAGCCTTCCTATTCTGAGCTTCTACTGTCCATGAGTAATTGCTATACTTTCAAGGATATCATCAGATCATTTTAATAGCACCCAGAAGAACTTATTTTGAAATGCGAGTTTCCTGAAAAATGAAAATAGAATACATTTTAAAGGCAAAATGCACAGTAATTCATTCAACAAATATTTATTGAACATCCTCTATCTGACCAAAATATCCAACATTTCTGACTGTTTTTTTAAAATTCTGATTTCCTAATGTTCATTGCTAGTGTTTAGAAATGTGATTTATTTTATATATTGCCCTTATATCCTGTGAATTTGCTAAACTCATTTATTAGTTATGTGAGTTTTGTTTTGTTTTATTTTTTAGCCTTCTTAAGATTTTCTACATAGACTATCACATCTTCTGTGAATACAAACAATTTTGTTTCTTCCATTCCACAAAGTAAGCCTTTTATCTTTTTCTTGCCCATTTGAATTGGTTAGGATTTCCAATATAATGCTGGATAGAAGTATGAGAGCAGGCATCTTTTCCTTGTTCTCAGTCTTAGGGGGAAAATATTCAAACCTTCATCATCAAAGTGTGAGGTTAACTGTAAGTCATGTGCATGTTATCCATTATGAGGTTAAGGAAGTTCTTTCTGTTCATAGTTTATGGAGAGTTTTTTGTTTGTTTTTGATTTTTATATAATGACTGGAATTTGAACTTCATTAAATGCTGTCTTTTTTCCATATCTGAGGTTCTCCCTCTTTAATCTGTTGAAATGGTGAAATACATTTTTCTAATTGTATTTTCTAATGTTGGACCAGCCTTGCATTCCTAGAATAGACTCTATTTGGTTATAATGTGTTATCCTATTTATATATTGTTAGATTTGATTTGATAATATTTGTTGAGGATTTTTGCATCTCTGTCTGTGGTATATATTGGTCCATAGTTTTTTCATTAGAGCTTTCTCTAGTTTTGGAATCAGGGTAATACTGACCTCCTAAAATGAGTTGGGAAGTGCTCCCTCCTCTTGTATTTTTATGAAAAATTTGTGTAGATTTGTGCTTGTTTTTGGTAGAATTGATCAATGAACATTTGATAAAATTGACCAAGAAAGTGATCTGGGCCTAGAATTTTCTGTTTGGGGAAATGTTTATAAGTAAAATATAATTCCTTTACTAGATATAGGAAATTTTAGGTTAAGTATTTTTGTTGAGTTTTGGCAGTTTCTTTCTTTCCAGAATTGGTCCAACTCATTAGACTTGTAGAATATTGGGCATTTTATTGTTTGTAAGATCTCTAACTATCCTTTTAATCTATTAATCTATATGAAGTCTATACTCTTCCATTTTTTCTTGATCAATTTAAATAGAGATCTATCAATTTTATTGATCTTTCAAAGAATAAACTTTTTGTTAGCTTGGTTTTCTCTACATTTTATTTAATTAATTTTACTGAGTTATGCTCTTATATTTATCACTTCTTTTATTTTTGCTTGCTTTGAGTTTAATTTGTTTTTCTCTAGTATTTTAATATTGAAATTTAGATCATTGATTTGGGATTCCTGTTCTTTTCCAAAAATAAGCATTTGATACTATAAATTTCTTTCTAAGTGGTGCTGTAGCTCCATCCCACAACTTTCGATATGTTGTGTTTTCATTTTCAATTAATTAAAAATGATTTCCCATTTCCTCTGAGACTTTCTCTTTGACTCATGGATTATTTAGAAGTTTGCCAGTTAGTTTTCAAACATTTTGGGATTTTCCAGAAAGTTATTGATGTCTAATTTAATTCATTTTGATCAAAGAACAAATTAATTCAGTGTTCAATTATTTTTAATTTGTTATGGTTTGCATTCTGGCCCAGAATACATCATGAATTTCCATGTGCACTTGAAAAAAATGTATCCTCTGCCATTGCTGGAATTTCCTTTAAGTGTCAGTTAGGTTAAACTGGTTGACAGTGTTGTTTAAGTGTTCTCTAAGCAATGGGAGAGATAGGTTGTAGTTGGCTTACTTCATCTTAGTCAGTAATAGAAATATAAATTGGATTTCGAACCCAGATTTTTCTAACTGCTAAACTGATAGTCTTTCCCTTATGCCATAATGAAACATTTAAAACTTCCCAAAGCTCTCAAAACCCGTTATGTATTGTGCAACATAATTTTTTATTCTAAATTCATTTTTATGCTGCAAGTAAATTTTATTATTTCTGAAAAGGGAAAAGTCAAAATCTAGCTAGGGGATATACAAATTTTCCTTGTTCTTTGCAAACAGACTTTAAACATTTTATTTCACTGGTCAATACAGACAGGCTTTACATATGTTTACTAGTATATCCACATTTTTAGAGGATTGCCCTTCTGACAATGTTTTTAACAAGATAATAGCTGAATTCATTTCCTCTTGGAGTCAAAGGGTCATTTCTTAGTTCAGCTGAGCTGAGGCATAGTGAAGGGGAGAAATCTACTAAATCACAGAATAAAATTTGAATTGAGCTTTTATTTCCTTTTGGCTGACCACTCTTCCATGCTTTTTTTCTATTCACTGTGAGTAGAAAAGGAGGGGAGAGCCATGTTCTCAAACAAAAAAAAGTAACAAAAATATTCCCATTTCACAAATACAAATATTTCACACTCTCCTATTACATTTAAGCTGTCTAAGTAAATGAATGTTCCGACTTAAAGAAAATTTTTAATGATTCCAGGGTTTTTTTTCCCTCCGAATTCCTCATGTTTCTCTCTCCTAAGACTCATATATACTCCCTAAGACTCAGATATCTTATTTTGGAAGTACAAATCATTTCTCTCCAATAGATTGATCTATACCTGTCCATCCGGGGATCCTTTGGGAGTCTGGCAGTCTTCTTGCTCTCTTCAAAGTCTTATTTACCCTAATGCTCAATCTGCGGCTCACCTATGTATCCAGAACTAGAAGAGGCTCTGCCTCCACAGATGGTCTCCCTCCTGTCCTCCTGTAAGCTAGGCCTTCCAGAAAGCTGCAGGACACAAAGAAGCCAGCTAATCCGCTCAGAAGTGTGAAGAGGAGTCGCCTGTGTCACAGCCCATGATGACAACTAGTGACAGGTCAGAGGTGGTTGTCCAAGGGCTGAACGCCAAGCACACTCTCTGGGGCAGATTACCGGAATTGAGAAATTTTCTTTGCTGTTTGCCATGACAGTGAAACCATGCACGGCTCTGCCTCCGAGTCTGCCATCCTTTAAACAGAGCCAACAGAGAGACTTCCAGACACGTCTGTTCTTTAACAGGCACCTTATAATAATGGAAAATATTGACATGACACATTATGACATATTCTTTCAATGGATTGTATTAACCTCCCGCTTTTTTCTAAGTTGTTTTTGGACATTGGGTCCATTATTGCACGTGGGGTGATACAGGATATTTTTAAGGATTTTTCCTAGAATTTCTGTAATGTTATACAAACTATAAGGAAGGGTTATAATGGTGTAGAGAAAGAAATGAGGTAGTAATAAAAATAGAAAAAGGAGAATGAGCAAGAGAATAGGCCAGAATGAGAATGACACTGAGCATGAGACTAAAGCCTTGGCACATTTTAAGCCTGAGATCAACAAACATTATTTCTTAACTGATCTTGCCTCCCTTTTCATCCTCCTGTAACTGAACCCCTTCTATGCCAGAATCAGTCCTAAAACTGCAAATCTAACCTTTGCTTAAAATTCTTTAAAGGATGAAGTTCCTCTGTGATCTGACCCCATTCCTTTGCTTATTCTCACTAACTGCCAGCCTTTACTTAATGCTTACACAATTTTTATCTTCTTTGAGTTTCTGAAGGACGGTGGGCTATGTAATTCCTATGTGCCTATGCATTTTTTTATTCCTTCTCCCTGGCATATCTCGTCCTTGTCCAGTTATGTTGTGGCCCCACCTCTGTGACTTCTTCCCAGACTATACATTCTGTGAGAGTTAATAATTTCTTATGCAAAACATGGTACATAATACTTTCATTATAACAAGTAATCGTTACATGGTAATTACTGGTTTTGCATTTGTCATGTCACTTATCTGTGAACTCCTTGTGGGTGGAGACACACTTTGTCATCTGTCTCTAACACTATGTATAGCATACCAGGAACTCTGAGAGAATGTTGGTTAATCTAAATCAAACAGAGCTGTAACAAGAAGTCACATACAATCTTTCACTTTGTATATTTATGCTTAAATATGCAGCATGCTGTGCTGTTATGATATATAATTGATCAGCTCTAGAGAAAAAAACCAGCAGGGTTATTTTAGGCAGATAGTGGGGCCAAGCAATCATGTTCTCTTTTTCCATTGGGGAAAAGGATATTCCAAAGGAAAATATAATGAATAGAAGGCTTTTATATCAAACTTTATATTTTGGAGGGAAAAGGATTTGCAAAGTTTTCCAAAAGCCAGTTAGAAAAATTAAGCCCCTATGTAATGTGATACTTCTAAAAATAATGCCCAGAGGAACAGCAGTTCTAGAGAATACTAAATCCAAGTGTGGCTAGATTCCATCTTCATTTTGGAAACAGCCACAGCTGTGGCCAGCCCAGACAATGGAATGCGGTTGAGGATTTGATATGGGGGGAAAGGAAAGGGACCTAGGTTTCCTGCCCTGAGGCACTTGGCACAGAATCCCTGGTCCCTCCCCTCCCCCAACCTGCCTCCCCTATCCTCCTCCTCATCACCTAGGAGATATATTGATCTGGGAAATATCTGGCATTTAGGTTTTGTTTGTGCTCTTGGGAATATTGTGGTAGAAGGGCCTTTAAAAAATCTAAGATGATAATATTATACTGTATATCTTTAACTCTCTCTGGTATGGACAAGTACCAAGTTAAGCCACAGAGAAATGCCTTCCTTCTTTTTAAAAATTTTCTATAAATAACATTTTGCCATTTAACAGAAACAAAGGAAACACAATAGTTTCAAGTTCATTTAGCTTTCCTTTCCCAAAAATATTACAAGACCGTATGCTTACTGGAAATGACGCACCGGTCTTGACCGACAATATTTTATGGAGAAGTTAATCTCCATTCCTATCTTCTGCATCTGGCTTGTACTCTACCCACCTTTCCCCAATCCTTTATTAAATCATCAGAAGTTCAAAGATGAGAGAGCTATTAGCAAGTACATAGAAGTAGCATGTCCATTTTGTTAAAGAGCTACCAGGAAAACTAATTGATGGCTGTCAGTCAGGATAGTGGTTGCCCTTGGAAGGAAGGGTTGATAGTAACTGGAAGGAAGCATGAGGGAGACTGAATATGCTGCTCATACTGTTTCATGATCTGTGTGCTGGTTACACGGATGTGCTTAATTTGTGAAAAATTATTGACCTATACCCTTATGATATATATACTTTTCTGTATGTATATTTTACTGCAATAAAAATAAATAATAATAATGATAATCAAGGTATCAGGTTAGTTCAAAATGCCACTTAGCACAAAGAAAATGAAACCAGTAAATCTGTGTCTATATGATAATAGATGATGAATATATAATAATATAATATACAATGAGTATACCCAGTAGGCATGTGGCATATACCTTTTAGTAAGAGGACCTTTGTTTACTTCGGTAATAGAAGGCCCAGAAGCCCAGCTGAAGAGCCCAGCTTCTCAGCAAATAACAAGGCAGGAGAGGTTCTGTCCAACTATTGCTGCCACACTGCTGAGCCCTTCTTCAATCATCTTCATGTTGTTACAGAGCAATCCTTTGGGAAAGACAGGGCATATATGTCAACCTTAATAATTTGCTGAAGATAATAGAGAAAGTCAATGGTAATTGTGGGTTCCCAATGTAGAATTCCAACTTCATACAAGTCAATATGATGCATCAGTCAACAGCCACTGTTGTCAACAATCACTGTGTCCAATCACTAGACAAAAAGCTCACTCTTTTTGATATCAAATCAAGAAAATACTATGATTATTGACAGAAGGCTTCATTTGGACTCTGTTGACCTTGATGAAAAACTTCTTGGTTAAACTCTTTTCTATCACTAATCGTGCTCAGCCTTCTACCTAGGAAATAATACCCAACTCTTTCAGCAATCTCCTGCAGGCAGGAAGACATGAGATTTCTCAGCTCTCCTCAAACAGCAGAAAAATTGGCAGGTCTATGAGAGGAATTCTTGGTACAAGAGGATAGTGGAGCTTTATGGGATCCTCTCCTTGTGAGTTTTTGAAATCTACATGAGGACCCAGCACTGGCTATACAAGGGGAGAGGATGGTGATACTGTGGAAATGATTTGTCCTGCATACATTTCTGTAGAGAATTAAAAAATAATAATAAAGCCAACTAAAAGTTGTCAGTCTGCTGTTCATATCACCTTGTGCCTGAAAATCCCTAGGAACCCTCCCTAGAGACATTCACCAGACCGGAGAGCAGTGGTGAGGAAGGCAACTGACCCTTTCTGCACCCCTGTGCCCCATTTTGACATTAAAAATTTAGCTCATGTAGTTGTAAAAAGCATCATAACTGCCAAAGCACTGAAAAGTTTCTGCTAGGGCCAAAGGGGAAAGGGACTTGTTTGTAGGAGTTGTTGTAGGCAGACATTCTGGCTTTTTCTGGATCTATGCCTATCTCATGACCTCATTTCTGGCATCGTTTCAATCAGAACAGGAGCCCACAGTACTTGAGCAGATGACTGAGGACATGTACAGCAAATGACTGAGAACATTTGGTCTTGGAGACCATTGTGAAGAAGGAGCTCTTGTTCCCCTCACCTCTCAAAACTACAGTCTTTCCAACGTGCTGCCCGCTACTTTAAACAGTTGAATAAATTCTCCTTTCCCCCACAAAGATGTCTTTGTTCTCTTCACCTACTCAGGCTAAGCCCACTTTCTTTCCTTTCCTACTCCACGATGTCCTCATAGGAATGAGCTGAAAGCTCCAAAACAAATGGTAGCTTGTAACTATGGCTGGTCAGTGGAGGAAATGCATCTCTTCCCAATCATACTCTGTATGTCTGTATTGAGGTTTCTACTACCACTATGTCCTACACCAAACTTGTTATGCCTTAATACCTGACTTCAAATGTAGTTCCAAAAGTTTGAAAAGTAAGGGATGGACCAAGTTGAACTTGGCAAATGACAACTCAAATAAAGCAAAAATGGTATTATTAATACCAGATAAAGTAGAATTTTAAAAGATCTTAAGCATAAAAAAGATATACTTAATATAAAAATCAAATGAATAATCATATCTGACTTGATTGTTTATAGTTCATGATGCGTGATCAAAACCGAAAGTTTCTGTGATATGACTGCCCTTGCACTGTTCACCATGTAAGAACATATTCACTATGTAAGAACTTGTTCACCATATAAGAACTTGTGCGTTATGCTTCAGAAGATTGGAGACTGTTGAGAATTAGGCTAGGGTTGATTAATGATTGTGCATTGAGTCCCCTATACATAATTTTATTGTTGTTAACAACCATTTGATCAATAAATATGAGAGATGCCCTCTCAAAAAAAAAAGATATACTTAAGAAAGATAAACTTAACATATAACTAAGCCTGTGTTTATATATCAAACAATATAACCACACATTAAGTATTGAAAAAAATCATTGGAAACAAGAAGAAATTTATGGAAACTCAATCTTTGTAGTAGCCTTTAACATATTACTTTCAGAAACCAAATAAGCAAACAGAAAAAAATAAAGCTATTGAAGATGTAAATGAAATAATAAGCAATAATAGATAGATAGAACAGAGAATAGACTGTCAAATACTCTTGGAACATTTAAGAATCTTGGTCATGTAGGTCATAAGGTAAATCATAATAAATTCTCCAGTGAAGAAATCTCAGAGTCCACATTCTCTGACCAAAATGCAGAATGTTTACCTTCTTAGAAATCTCTGTAATAAGTAAATGATCTCCTCGAGTTAAAGGAGAAAATCAAATTGTTTATAAACCTAATTAGAAATATAACAATGAATGCGTAATATACCAAAACATGTGGAATGCTATCAATATATATGCATTTATTTAAAACAAAAAAAATGGAAAATAATGAACTAAAATACAACTGAAAATCTGAAAACAAAACAAAATGAGAAAAACAAAAGAAAAAGGAAGGAATTTATAAAGAAAGATAATAGCAGAAATTAATGAAATGAGAAAAAGACTTAAAAGTGGATGTTAAAATAGTTCTCTGAAAAGACCAATAAACAACTGTCAGGCAAGAAGAAAAATGAGAATATAATGCACATGGTCTTTTATTGGGTGCCACAATACTGCAAATACCATTCTAAGTGCTGGGATATTTGTGAAATTTTTTGCTTATTTAACATCTTTTCTTTTTGGAATTGATACCCCTTTCACTGGTTAAAGTTCAATCACATAACCTTGACTTTTCTCACATCAAGCATAAATAGGTACCCAGCCTGACCAATTCTCCTAAATAAAGTGATTGATTCAGGTTTGGGTATGTGACGTAAGTAGTTCAAAGATAGTCCTCTTTGGAGGGATTCAAATGGGCCCTGGGAGAAACAGACTTTCTTTTTCTAAGATATTAAATTTTAAAGGACAAATAAGCCTGAAGTTTTTGGGGTCCCCTTTGCCAACTCAAAATAAAGTCTACATAGAGGATTTTTGCCAAGAGACAAAGAAAGAGGGAGGAAAAGAGAGCACATGCATATGTGAAGGAGTTCCCAATCTTCCACCTTTGACCTCAAAACAAATATGCTTTCTTAGTCTTGAAAATGTGAGTCCAAAACCTCTGGACATTCTTTTTTGGATGTGTCACTTGCTTTCACCACTGGGAAGGACACACACTGAGAAAGATTATTAAAAGACTTTATCTCTGTGCTCAACAAGTACTTTTCATTTTGATACCACTGAATCCTCATTTTAACACTTATAGATGACCTGGAAAATCTAGGTAAGGTAATGTCTTAGTCTTTAGACTCACCTATTAAACAAAAATTACTATGTGGCAGACACTATTGTAGGTACTCAGGATACATACATGAAAAAAAAAAGACTAAAATCCTTGTTCCCATGGACTATATATTCTAGTGGGAAAGAAAGACAATAAACAGTGAACATAATAATTAAGTAAATAATATGGCATGTTAGAAGGGGATAAATGCTGTGGGAAAAATAGAGCAAGTTTAGGGGTTTCAGGAATGTGTATTATGTTGGGGGGAGTGTGCAGGTTGCATATTAAATAGGGTGGTTAGGGTAGGCCTTGAGAAGGTGTTATTTGAGCAGAGACATAAAGGAGGTGAGAGAGTTTCCCAAATGTATAACTTGATGAGGCTGGGGGCAAAGGGGATTACAAAACTAAAAAAATAGCTTTGCAAAACCCTAAAATGAAACTAGCCTGTTGTTGGTCCAGAAAATCATCATTTTCCAAATCACATTACTACCACTTGACAGAGATATATAGTAGAAAATATGCACATCTAATATGAATTTGAATGTGAATGGTGATCTCTGTAAATGGGAGTACATAATCTATACATCTTGCACAGCCATCTATCAAAATCATGGTGCTGGACATATCTGGGGACGAGCAGAAGTAGCAGGAGTCAGGGGAAAATGGAGTTAGAGAAGTCAGGCAAGATGTTGAAGATCGCTGTAAGGAACCTGGTTTAAATTCAGATGCAATGAGGTGCCAATTGGAGGTTTTCAGCAGAGAAATGGCATGACCTGCCAAATTTTAAAAGAATTCCTATGGCTACCGTCTTGAGAATGCACCATAGTGGGTGAGGGTGGAAGCAGGGAAAGAGGCTATTGCAAAAATCTAGGTGAGAGATGACAATGTCTTGGGGCAGGGTATTAACAGTGAGGTGGTTGGTGAGAAGTGATGGGATTCTATATATATTTTACAAATTGAGCCAGCAGAATTTTCTGACAAATTGGGTTTGGGATGTGAAGAAATGAGAGGAATCAAGGATGATGCCAAAGTTTTTGACTCCAGATACTGGCACCCCACTGATGTTGATGCCTTTGCCTAAATTACACTTTTATACAAGGCTGGCCATGATTATCCTAACTATGTTTAGCCAGAACAACAAAATAATCAAAACAAAAACCTGTTGAGATGATGTGATTATAACTCACCACATAAACAACACAAATATAAACAGAGAAACATTTCTTCTTCACTCTTCTTGTAACTGTTTATCTATCTATCTATCTATCTATCTATCTATCTATCTATCTATCTATCCATCATCTATTTATCCACCTATTAATAACAATTATCACCATAACACTATATTACATTTTAAAACAATGTACAGTTTACAAAGTGTTTTAGACCATTATTATAATTGATTCTCTATAATCAAGTAGGAATATTTTTTGTATATTGGTGAGTAAATTCCAGGAAACCTCTATGCTATCCTCTATGAAGCATCAGACATCCTATTTTTATATGTAAAATGTTGATAAGCTGTATTTTTGTTACCTGAGTAGAGCCTGAAGACCATATTAGACTTTTTGAGAAAACACAATGCAACTAATTAATTTTCAAGTGAAATTGTTAATAAAATATTACCCTTCTAGGACAATCCATTGTATATTTGAATCACAGCTTCACACATTGTATATTTGAATCACAGCTTTAAAACCCTCTAGGTTTTAAAGACATCTGCTTCCCAAAGTGAATTTTCTCTTACCCAAAAGTGACTTTTTTTTGGCAATAGTTTTATGGAGGGGATGCTACTGGTGCCCTGCACAGAAGCCCTTCACCAGCCAGGAGAGCCATCCTCCAGATGCTGGGGACTTGATTCACTGCTACCTCTTCTCCCAGAGAATTGCTCATAACCAAACAAAAGTCATTCACCCAGGAAACTATTTTCTTTTCACTTAGTTCCTCTGCACTACACGGCTTCTCTCACTCCCCTTCTCCTGAGGGCACTCCAGCAACAAATCAGTTGATTGAGAATCTCCATCCCAGGCTCTGCTTCTAGGGAACTCGACTGGAGATACATTTGCTCTTCAAAGGTATAATGTCACAATAATTTAGTAGAGAATTTGAGGTGTTAACATGCTGGAATGCATGTTATGGGAAAGCCAAAAACAAGCATTAGGAATGCCCTCACATTCTGTTGTGAGGTGGAGAGATTTAAATGCTCTTGCTTTCCATTATGGTCACTGTCCAACAACTTGACATTTGAACATTTCCTGAACCATAAAGGGTTAGTTCTGGTAAGATCCTCAATGTACCAACTACTGTGAGTCAAGTAGCTTCATGTTAGATCCATTTCTTAGGTACAAGATAGGTGGAATTTCGTTGGCAAAAAGTTGAAATTATAATGCAATCTGGCACATACTCTTTCTCTTTGTAATGGGGCCCTTGTGAATGAAGACAAAGAGGACAAAGGATGAGGGAGATATGTCACCAAAAGGGAATGAGCTAGAGCTGGGAAAACCAAACCGTGTGAACTTGTACAGGTTCTTTATATCCTAGGTTTCTCTGCATGGAAATGGAGTCTTAGGGAAAGCTTTGCCACCAATGAATTTATTTTCTTGTACATCAAGAGCATGTATAAAGACGGAGGAAAGTTTAACACTTAGATGGTATACTCGTGTATGTTTTCCTCTATGTACATAAACAGATGTTATAAAGCATTGAGAAAATGGATATGAAAAGACTCAATCCTATTTTGCTTTAATAATACACTATCTTTTACATATCTTTCTTTATATGTCATATTTGTGGTATTTATCGCATTATGTTTTCTATTACAGCTATTTGTATTTATTTTTCTTATGCCTTCTGCACCCCACCACATGATTTTGAGCTCCTTTAGAGTAAGACATGGTCCTCATAGAATTGGGCACAACGCTCAGCACACAGCAGGCAAGCTGGGCTTACCAAATGACATGAAGATAGCCCTGATCAGCCATCAGTAAGGGACATGCAGTTGCCTTTTCAAATTGTGGGGATGGGTTATTCTTACTATTGTCTCCTCTCTGTCTAGAAGAGTCTCATTTTGTGACAAAAAACATGAATTTATAGGATAGTTGTTAGGTAAGAGATTGTGGTAATAAAGCAGAATTAGACTAATTATCTTACTCTGATATTGAAATGAACAATCAAAAATGGTTCCATTGGCCAGGGAGCTGGGAAAGAGTGTTAATCAACCCCTGGCAGACTGACTTGGTATTCTAGGTACATTAATAATTTTTTCCTCATATCTAGATCCCAATCAATTAATCTTAGCAATTGACACACTTGCTTTGAAATAACTGGTTAAGAAAAACTAAACCTTCATTCTATTCATTTTCACTGGACTCAGCTACAAGGAGATAGAAGTGAGTTTTCCCCTCCAGTGCTAACTATCCAAAAACTCCTATATTTTTTATGTTCTTTGTCACTTTTTTTTCTCATTTACAAAGAAAACAGCTCCCTGTGTTTATTGTGAATATGAGGATTTTAAGTTGGCTGTTGAAAGTGAATTAACTGTCATATCTGTTAAGCAATTCATTTGACCTATGTTTTCACTAAACATACTTGCTTGACCCCAAGAGTCAGGCTGCGTAGCAAAAGGTGTGTCCAGCAAGCTGAAACAAAACCCTCTACATTTGAATTTTCAGCTCAGATGCATTCACTGTTCTTTCCAGATTTCTTATTTCATTTTTCTTTCCATTTCTATGTAAACTTTTAACATCAGAAAACAAGATGGTGTACTCCTCTGCAGAAACAACAACAATTAAAGGACAAATAAATTCGTTTTCAGAGAGTCCAGACAGGAAGCAGACCTTGACTTGACTCTCACATCACCAATCACCAGTTATCTACAATACACTTTGTATATCACTGCCTCGCAGCAGCTCTCTGGTGTAACTGATCTCCCTTCTCATCTCTAGAGTCTGTCTATATGGTCTTTCCTCTTCCATTTTCCTGGAATTCCCTCTCCTGTGAAGAATCTCTCTCTTTTCTCAGTCTCCTCTTTAGATTTCTGGGTTTCTTTTACCTCAGGAATCTTGTATACTTCCCTCAGCCTTTGGCCTGGGTTTATTTATTTCCGTCAGACTTTCCTGGATGGAACTGAGTGAGCTGAAAGAGACAAGGATTTGATTAGGCCATCTCATGTTCTTTCAATGCCCCACAGATCCTGTCATCACAATCAAACATCTTCAAAACAATTAGACTTTTCACACTGCCGAAAGTGAGCTGCATCAAGAAGTGCCACTTTGCTAATATTTCATTTTAGGTTCCATTATGCTAATACTTCATTTTCCTCTTTGAATTACATTTTAAAAGACCCGCTCTGATAATCCCAGTTTAGTGAATATTTGGTCCCAAGAAGGTACTTGGGGGTGGGAGTTGGGGGGTAGAAATGTGCTGGTGTGTATCATGTACCAGGAAAGGAATACAGAGAATGTAAAAACAAACAAAACACAAAACTCTGTCTTATTATACTCAAATGTGAGAGAAGGCAAATGAAGTCAGTCTTTGAAATATTGCATATTTAATTCTAATGTTTTGGCTTTTGATAATGTTAAAAACCCTTTAGGTTGGCTGATATTTATTCTCTGTGACTTGAACTAAACATAGTTTTTCAATTATTTTCTTTTAAAAGAAGAGAATAGTTGATCAACCTATTATTCCTTTCTTTCTACTAATGCCTTTCACACTCCCTTGATCTCAGCTCTGAACAAGGTGGCTGACCAGAAAGACATTTCTTGCAAGATGCCTGATCTAGGCATATCTACACCGGGTCAGAATGCCTGGGCACCATCCAAAAGGGCAGAAAATAGGTTTTGTTATTAGAAATGCTGGAATTTAGATACAAAATAGTACACAGTAGTGAGAGATTGTTTTATATTTATGACAGGTTCTTCTGACAGTAGCTCAGACTAAAATCAAACAAAATGGGTCTAGCCCTTGGCTTTGTAAAAATGCTAGGTTGTAATCACTTTTTATTTATTTTTCAAGATGACACAGCAACCTAAGAAAATTTAGCTCATAAGGTGATTCCTTTTCAGTGTATCAACAATCCCTCAAAGTATATGTAGTTACTATTCATTCTTTAGTAGAAATAATGGAAATAAAAATGGGAGTGGGAAAGTTATTACGGATGTTGAGGAACTCTGAGGTATCAATCATGGGAATGAAGTGAACTTTCTTGGCACTTAACTGGCTGCTCAGTGTTATGCTTACTTGCATTAGAGTCCAGTGAATTCTCAAGGGCTGGTATCTAAAGAAATAAAGAAATTCTATCTGAGCTTCTTGAGGCTGAGACTTTCCAGGAGACACAGAGTATTTAAAGGAAACCGTATAGGAAAAGTTGAACTTGGATTATTCTGTAGTATCCCAGTTAAGCAGAGCAAATATGCTCAGAGGAGCATTTTACTTCTGGAGCTCTGCAGTACTGTCCCTGGGATAATTAACAGGATTTATTCCTGGTTACCAAGTCATCACTGACCTTGGACATTGGTTCCCTTCACTGTTTGCTGTTGGATAAATCTTACCCAGGTTAACTTTTGGTGTTAGCCTCTTGCCCACATGCTGTTGTTTCAACTTCTGCAAATGGGCATCTGGTCTTCAGACAAGCCAGTTGGTTTGGCTGTTGAAGGCCACCAGCCAGATTTTGTGCATGGCTGATTTCTCTAATGGACCCAAAACAAGCATGATTTTTCTGAGAGCCTTCACAATATTGCTCTTTTTTTCCCCAACACCAAAAGACCTCATTCTCAGAGGCCCAGAACTGGTCTACTTATTCACTGGGTCCATGATTGTCAGCGCTCTTTCACACAGGGCAGAGGAGCTGAACCTATAGGGGAATTGAAATATGCACCAATAGAGAGTCAGGGCAGCTGAGAAGGAATCATAGAAAGGTACAGGCCACCTGACATTCTTTCTCTCTCTGTCTCATTTCTTACCTTCCTTCCTTCCAGTCCACACAAAGAAATGTCAAAATCCCAAGAAATAGTTAAAATATGGTAAATGTAGAAGGCATTTTTTCCTAGTTTTTAAAAATATAGGCATAGACTTTGTCTGACTTAATATATTTTAAAATAAACTCTAAATGGAAAGCCATTTTATATAGGGATTGTAAGGTTGAAGGCACTGGGGGGAGAGGTGAGCATGTCAGACACTGATGATGTGCCAAAGTCCCCGGCTGCTGCCCCCTCCCAACCTGGAAAATGTGCCTTAGGCTGGCCAATCCTCGTGCCGCTGTGAATCTAAGCTCTGCCTCCCCCTCCCTTCTTTAAAAACTTGCTGCCTGCCCTGCTGGGCGTGACTTTCCCAGCCTCCATTTCTGTAGACTGAGAAACCTCGTCCGGGAATTGCGTTCAAATAAACTACCTGGCCCTTTGTTGCCTCTCTTCATCTGCTTATTTTGGCTAAAATTTATCTTACAGGGATCTCTCAAAAAAAAAGCATTATTTGCCCTATGACTCAAATGATTACTGATAAAACTACAAATAGAGTTCATCTGGAGGAAAACAATGACTTTTGACTATTAATCATTTAAGTCTTCAACACAGTTGGGAAATGGAACTTCTCACTAAAGATTTGTAGGATAAAAAGTCAGGAGCTCATTGTGAAAATGAATTAATGAGAAAAAGGGAAAATGGATATCGTGTAGAAAATAGGAAGACACACAAATGTGAAAGAAAACACCTGCTTTCCTATAAACATTTGACTTAATACCATCCCCAGAAATGTTAATTGAAATGGCTGTTAACAAGAAACTCAGATATGATTAACATAACATTATAATTGCAAAGGTCAGGAGAAAAACTTGCCTTTCTTCTCCTTTAACTTTTGAGATTTCTCCCTGTTCTGAGTTCTCTGGTGATGTAGCCAACACATGGAGCTATTTCTTTATAATCTTAAAGAAAGGTCACAAACAGCTTTCAACAGATACAAACAATCTGACACATGATTTCAAAAGCTGGGAAAATTCCACAGATGCAGGAAAACTTCAAGAATTGATAAGAAGATTTCATAATGGTGCAGACCAAAATTAACATTACTAAGCAGGTTCTGTTTTAATTAATTAGGTACAAACCATAGCACAAACTTCTAGATCAATTGTGACTGGACTTGGAGAACTCTTTGATATTTAAATTTGATGTTATTGCTTAACAGTGAAAGAACTTTTGTTACCTTAAGGTAAAAAAAACCTCTGCCCTGTCCATGGTGTAATTTGAAAGATTACAAAGGCACTGTCCTGTCCAAAGTCATTTTCATTAGACTCAGCTGAGACAATTTTCTTATTCTGTGCTCCCTACATGGGATAGAGATCCTTTTCATTGCTGTGGATGGCAGGGCTTCCTTCTTAATGATGAAGGGATCCTTAGAGATGACAGGTCCCCAGTCTTACTAAAAGGTTCCTGATGTTAGGAGAAATTCTAGGATGCCAAGGTGTTACTTCAGTCAGGCTGGTTAGAGGTAAAAAAAAATATCTTTTATTGCCTGAAAGAACAATTCTGAGATCCCTTGAACTTTGGGGTGTGAATACTCAAAAGAATGTAGTATTTCTTTTTTTTATCTTTTCTGATTTCAAAGAAATTGATGGAGCCACCATCAATCTTAGGCTTTTTCTCTCTTTAGTTATTAGCCAGTGGAGGTCAGTGAAATACATCAATAAATAGTAAATCTGTTCCTTTTAGGATCATAAATAAGGCAGCGCCCTGTACAAATAGAAGTTAGGAAGAACTGTCTTAGTCTAGGTACAGCTATGCTTGTCCTCTTTCTCACCTCTGCCTATAATTAACCTGGTAGCTTCTTCTCAAAGTCAAACAAATAATTTTTCTTTATTTTTTGTAAGAATAGTCTCTTATAGGTTTCATAACAGTATAACCTCAGTGAGGGTTGCTTCTTCTATTTCAGTCTCAGTTTTCTCATATGTAAAATGAAAAGTAGTTTAAAAATTTCTTCTGGCTCTCAAAATGCTATGATCAGTGCAGATTTTTTGATGAATGGTGTGACTCTGTGTGGGTAAAATTGCAATATTTCCAGAATCTCTCACCTAGCCTTAGTGCATCTCCATGTCAATAGGTGTTGCCAAGGGGTGGAGAAAAGTAGTCCATCTACTTATCAATAGGTAATTACAAGGGCAAGCAAGGGCATATCTGGACCAGAGACGTTGGGTGGGATCCCTTCTTCTGCAGCCAGATTGGGAGAAAGATGGGCTAGCAGAAGTGGATGACTACTTGTAAGCAATAAATGGGCTTCTCCCACTTTATTTCTCCCTTTGACTGATTTCGGTTTCAAAGGTATTTTGCCCCGGGACTTTCCCCTGGAGTTACACTCTGTGGTATTCAAAAGTCTGTGAGTACTACCTATGCACTTTTCCTCCCAAAGTCCAAAAAAAATATGCTCTACTAACATAAGGGATTATATCAAGAAAGAGGAAAAAATAGGATCTAGGATAAAGAGAAGTCAATACTTCTCTTGACAATACTTGAGACATGAAGGAGTCCCACAGTGACAGTAAACAAAAACCCTAGGATGATATCTGTAGGGTTGAAGGCACCGGGGGGAGGGGTGAGCATGTTGGACACTGATGCCCTGCCAAAGTCCCCAGCTGCTGCCCCCTCCCAACCTGAAAAATGTGCCTTGGGCTGGCCAATCCTCACACAACTGCAAACCTAAGCTCTGCCTCCCCCTACCTTCTTTAAAAACTTGCTGCCTGTCTGCTCACGTGCAACTTTCCCAGCCTCCATTTCTGCAGACTGAGAAACCTCGCCCAGGAATTGTGTTCAGATAAACTGCCTGGCCCTTTGTTGCCTCTCTTCGCCTGCTTATTTCGGCTAGAATTTATCTTACAATATCTAGGTAGCAGGACTACACAGTAACTAGTCAAGATCAAAACAGGAGGACAGAGGGCTTCAAAAAGGTGCCTTTAAGGAAAAAAATAATATGGAACTTATAATCTTTCAGTGAGATGTTTTAGAATTCTCTAGAAGAATTTGGGGATAAATTAGAGTTAGTTAGAGAAGTAAGCATTGAAAAAATCAAGCTGTTATTACTTTCAGGCAAAACAAAAGTTGTATAAGAAAGTAAATGTAGTACTGTGTGAGTCTACTGTAAGCCATATT